GTTTAGTAGATTTACTCTGCTAATGACTGAGCTATATTTGCTTGGGTGGCATTCACATTCAATTGCATTCCTGAAGTATATGTCAGTGGGGGTGGGGAAGACAGCCAGAAGAATATGAAGCACTAGAGAAAAACAGGATCAGGCTTAGAAATTAACCACGATTAATCTCATAATGTGGATAATAAAAAGTTAACCATGGCCTGAAGTTGCCTTTCACCTCTGAGATTCTAGAGGCCCTAGGACACTGTGAAAAGCACTTGCCCTGTCTGTCATCTGCTCCCTACACCCTGTGCATTCTCCTCCTGTGGAGGAAAAGCCCAGCATCTGGCTATGTAACTAATCTTGTTTTTGCTGGGCCAAAAAACTGGGTAATTATACTAGGAATTTTCCTGTCACATCAGAGAATTACCCATAATTATGTGATAAAATAAAAATACTTCAAACAGAAGCACACTTTCTGAGCAATTACAGGCAAATGATGACAGGCAGCTGAAAGCATTTGTGGACTATCGATATTCCCCAGATGAGAAGGGAAGAGGAAAGGGGGTGGGCAGAGGAATGACGGGAAAGAAACAGGAAGACAATAGCACCGCTCTTCACCTGAGTTTTTCTTTGCTATGCACAAAGCGCACTTTCCTCTGGTTTACATCTTTCCAGCTAAAATGACCAGCTTTGTCCAGCTGAGCCTCTTTTCCATTTCTTGAGAGCACGAGCTGACCGTTGGTGGGAGTACTCACAACGTGGAACAGCAGATCTTCCACGGTGCCATCGTGGGGTTGGACATTCAGCAGGGAGAAGTCCAATGGCTTCATTGCGCCAATAGCAAGGGTCAAGGACCCATTCACATGAAGACTGGGAGTGTGTGTTTTTCCTGGAAAACAAAATAAAAGATCAGGCTTGTTGCACTCAAAGTGATTACGTCTTATTTATTTATTTATTTATCTATTTTAAAGAAACAAGCTTGGGTGAATGCAGAGCTTCACTGAGGTGATTCTGGGTTGTTACACAGCACTCACATCCTTCTAACTCAGTGATCATCACCCTGGATGTACATTAGATGAAAATACAGGAGTACTATGGCATGATTTGTGAACTGAACAATGCCTGCTTAGGTAGAATGCAAATAGCCCAAGTGACTAAAATACTCAGTAAGTCAGACATTACCTAAATTGAAAACTCATGGGTTTCAAAAGACACGAAGTAAAAAGACAATCTGTAGAGCAGGAGAAAGTGTTTTCCAATCATATACTTCACTCAAAATATATAAAGAGCTCCTACAATTCAAAAGGACACCATAATTTTTACAGTGGTCAAGACGTTGAC